CTTTTTTTCTGGATGCTGAAACAGGTGGAGCGCTCCGAAGCCTCTGACCTGAGGAAAAAAACTGTACTGTGTTATCCTCTTGCCTTTAATATAGGGTCTTTAAATGTTCCAGCCTTATCTCCGTTTTACTGCTGAGTAATAAGGAAGGAGCTATGTGTGTTCATGCCTGGGTCAGAGTGTCAAAGAGGACCATCTCCCTTTAAGGACAGTGGTGGTGGCAGCAGTAATTAATGAGAGTCCTTCAGGGCAGAGATGACCCTCCCAGGATAACAGAACCAGTTCTGGGAAGAGAAACTGTTGCTCCCAGGTGGTGGAGACACTGGATTTTGCTTTTCTTAAAGGCAGCTGCAGTTCCTTAGCTATCTCTCTCAACAAACCAGTCTCTTCTGGTCTCCCTACCTCGCTGTTGTCACTCTGACTGAAAATAAGTCTGTTATGTGAAGTTGAGGAGCCCTGGTAGTACGGTGGTTAAGCGTTTGGCTGCTAACCAAAAGGTCAGCAGTTGGAATCCGCCAGCTGCTCCTGGCGACCCTGTCCTACAGGGTCACTATTAGTTGAACTGACCCGACAGCAATAGTTTTTTTTTTTTTTAATATGAAGTTGAAAAAGTATTAAATAATTTCAAGTGTTATACGCTGCTGTGTGAAAAGCTAACACAAAAACTTAAGTGGCGTAAGAGAGCCATTTTATGGATCAGAAATTTGTGAAGCGACCGTTCGGGTGTTTTGTCTCCGATCCATGTGGCATCAGCTGCGGTGACTGGAGCTGAATGATCCTCCCGAGACGGCTTCCTCCCTGACTAGTCCTCGGTCCCTTTCTCCATGTCTCATCCTAGAGGGCGTCCTCATGGGGCTTGGCCTTCACCCAAGCGCGGTGGCCCTAAGGTTGTTATACTTAAATCATGGGGCATTCCAAGAGAGTAAGGCGGTAGCTGCCGGACCCCTTAGATGCTAGGCCTGGAACTGACATAGGCTCACTCACACCATCCGCTGACTGATCGAAGTGGTCACAGCGCAGCACAGGCTCAAGGGGCAGGGAAATAGACCAATTCCCAATGGGAGGAGTACCAAAGAATTTGTAATTATCTTTCATCGGCCGTAATTATAAGATATAAACACAAACACCCTCCCTCCCTCCCACCCCGCAAGTATCAGTACCCTGATGATTCCTCAGCAGTTTGCAAACGTTTTGGCTGCCTTAGATTAGGATGGGGTACTATCATATTGTCTATTATATCCACCAGCTGCTCCTTGGAAACCCTGTGGTTCTCCTCTGTCCTATTGGGTTGCTATGAGTCAGAAGCGACTCGATGGCAACGGGTTTTATATATAGTGTACTCTATATATATTGTTCACAATTTTATTTTTAATGTCCAGGATAAGAAAAATTCTCTAAAGTTTTGTTACCTCTCTGATGTATACATGTGTACTTAATGACCAACATTCTGAGCTGCGGGAAGCACGCACTATGCATTTTATGGCCCAGCTGAGGTGCTAGGAGTATTAAGAATCGTTTATTAAGGTCCAGGGATCATTCTAGCCTACCGAATGTCTTCGATTTGCTAAAGTCACAAAAGTTACGTTGGCTTTTTCTATGGAGTTAACTTTAGCCACATGATAATGCAAAGCTCTGTACAGGTGTTGGCACATGTCTGGTCCGTTGACATCTGAGAAGTTCAACTCTGGGGTCATGGAGAGAAGAAGGAAAAGTCCTAATAAAAACCACATTAGCCATTAAAGTTCATTTACCAAACCTGCTTAAACTCTTGTACTCTCAAAGCTGATTTTATCCAGTTGTCTTTTAATTATAGTCTCTTGCTCAGAGTTCCAAATATAACGGCTTTTTAATATAACTTGCACTGTTCTGTATCCAATGTAGGATGTAATCGTGCAACGCATTCAGTCAGAGCCAGTGCATGAAGTAATTAAAACACAAGCACACACGGGTTTCTGCACGTACAGATACCCGGCAGGAAAGTAGTATTAAGAATCTGAGAAACCTGCTTTTGGATAGAAGTCTATAAATCCTATGTCCACCAATGTATATTGTTGTTAGGTGCCGTCAAGTCAGTTCCAACTCATAGCAACCCCAAATACAACAGAACGAAACACTACCCGGTCCCGTGCCATCCTCACAGATGTTGCTCTGTTTGAGCCCATTGTTGCAGCCACTGGTCAGTCCGTCTCACTGAGGGTCTTCCTCTTTTTCGCTGACCCTCTACTTTACCAAGCATGATGTCCTCTCCAGGGACTGATGTATATTGTAGCTATGGTGAATTACAGAAATTAAATCATTGCTTGGGAGATCTGTACACATCTCAGATATGACAGAATAAGATAAAAGAAACTGATGTACATGGTATGACATATTTTTAACTATCCCATCTCCGTCTTGGGTAGATAGTTAATAACTCTCAACAGATGTTAGTTGTACATCATCCAAGACGTTGGGAGATGAACAGAACTTCAGTCCCCTCTGTCTTGTTTAGAAGAGGAAGACAGAAAAAACGGTAATGAGACTTAAGATTTTCTCTACTAGTAAAGATGAGCAAACAAAATGTAACAATTATAATCTCTTAAGACACTTAAATAAGGTGATTCTTTTGGAGAGTAGGAGCGTTTGTTTCTTTTTTCCTTTCCAATAAGCATGTACAACTTTAGTAAGTTAAAAGCTGCTCATCTTTATTTCTTTATTTCAAGGTAAACAAGATATTTTATATACAAAAAAGTAAAACTTTTATTAGCCATTTTTGAATTAAATATAATTCAATTTTTGAGGAATTTTAAGAAATACAATCGGAGTTTAAAAGTCCTGCGTGTTTTGTGTAATACCAGGAGAGTGAAGACCACGGCCTTGAGAGTTCAGCTTTTTGTGCAGAACATTTCTCTAGCATTACGTTCAGGCTATAATTGGTGGCCATTTAAAACAAGAAAAAAGAATTTGGACCATGAATACAAATACCAGGGAGAAAACAGAAACAAATATTTAGTCAATCGTCAGGATTTGGGGTTTGCACAATGCCAACAGACAGAAACAACAAAGTCTAGATGGGCCGATTTCCTTTTGGAGTTTTCTCTGGATATACCACGTAGTCACGTGTTTAATGACCGGTTCTTCTTACTCAGGTATGCAGACATTGGAAGTATATGTCCGTTTCTGAAATCCTCAAGAGTTCAGACGACACATCCTCATTCGTTCACTTCCTTCCCTCTTCTTGCCTTTTGTTGTCACGTTCACAGGCCTTTCTCTCACATTCTTTCCAGATTTTTGGTTCCTCTTGGGGAAAAGGAAACCCTGGTGGCATAATGGTTAAGAGCTACAGCTGCTAACCAAAAGGTCAGCAGTTTGAATCCGCCAGGCACTTCTTGAAAACCCTGTGGGGCAGTTCTGTTCTGTCCTATAGGTTCGCTATGAGTCAGAATCGACTCGACGGCAACGGGTTTGGTTTTTTGGTCTTTGGAAAAAAAAAAAAAAAAAAAGGTAGACCGAGGCTAGCCAAGTAGCATCCTATTCCTAAATCGGAATTTAACTAAGACTGGGACTCCAGATGTATAACCACTTCCTAAGGTTAATGTTAGGGGAGCCCTGGTGGCACAGTGGTTAGGTACTCAGCTGCTAACTGGAAAGTCAGCGGTTTGAACTCACCAGCTGCTCTGCGGAAGATGTGGTACTCTGCTTCCCTAAAGATTACGGCCTTGGAAACCCTATAGGGGCAGTTCTTCTCTGTCCTATAGAGTTTCTACAAGTCAGAATCCACTCAACAGCAAGGGGTTTGCTTTTTGATAAGATTAATGTTGCTTGTAATTACAAGCTTTGAAATTCTAAAAGCTGAGCTTTTGAGCTCCAGAAAGAGTAGCCTAAAAAAGTAGACCAGCTGCCACTCAGGGCGACCAATCTTGATTCCAGGGCATCTCAAGAGCTTGCAGCCACAGCAGCTCTGCCATTGACTTTTCATAGTCTCAACTGCTCCCCATTGAATGAAGATAACGTCTTCATCTTCAGAGATGCTGTCCCAACTCCTCTCCAGAGGAGAAATCCATAGGGCACCAAATCAAACACATTGCTGCAAAAGCAAAAACTGGACAAAACTATTTTCCATCATCCTCATCAAATACTAAATTTCAAACTTTCAAATGGGCTATGTACCCAAAGTTTCTTTTAAGTTAGGTGTGAGACTCAGGACTCACGTTCCTACAGAAATGATGGTATAAATGTCATTATTAAATGTAAGTAAAAATTTAAATTTCCAGAACTGTCCACAGGAACAGTTTGCTCACACTAAAGTCAAAATGTAAGTAAGCTAACCTTGTTTTCTTCCCTTGATCTTAAGACATAAACTTTTCATATTTTGGCATTTCTAAAATCAAGACACATCTTAAAATTAATTTTTTCGGTCCAGATTTAGCTTTTTTAGAGTATTATTTTCAAATATCTAAGATGGATTGAACTGGATTAACACCATCAAATACCCACTCACATCTAAATATGATTTCAGTATGGGTTCGATACACTCATAAAAATGAAAAGAATCATAAAAATCATATCTACTTTCTGAAATGTATAACTAACTACCTATTCATTTATTGACAATCTACTGCAAAATCTTCAATCTCTACTCTAGTACAAATGTAGCATTAAGTGTATTCCTAAAAGTTACAAGCTAAACACATGGAAACTAAAAGGTTAAAAATCAAACTTACTGTTGTATTTGTAATATGTGAAAATAAATCCAATTTCCAATAATGCTATATGAAGTATTATCCTTTTGCAGTTAAGGTCATTACTGATCTTACTGTTGGAAACACGCTTTAGAATACACAGATATTTTCAAAATGATATGACAACGCGTAGGAGTATCTTAGTAACATAAAAATATGCCCTTTAGGCATATTTGATTTAAAAATCATTTCCTAGAATAATCAAGAAGCATATTTACCCTCAATCACTCTTCTCTCAAGATGCTTATCCTGTTTGAGGGCCATTTCCCACCTTCTTTTTCACTAGTCCTTTTTGGGCTTCGCGTGAGTTGCGATGTGGGCTTTCAGGTTGCTCGACTGAATGAACCTCCTGTTACAGCCTCGAAAGGGGCACAAAAAGCGTTTCTCCCCAGTATGGATTCGTACATGTGTGCGCAGATTGAAGTCCAGAGAAAAGCGCTTTCCACACCCTTCAAAAGTGCACTGGAAGGGCTTCTCTCCGGTGTGAACCAGGAAGTGTCGTTTTAGCTTGGCACTCTCGTAGAAAGCTTTCCCACATTCTGCACAAACGTAGCCCCGAGGACCATGAACCAGGAGATGCTTCTTCAGGGAGGGTTTACCCTTCAACTTTCTTGTGCATCCACTGTGAGGACAAGCAATTGCTTGTGGATCACTGTCCTCTGTATTTTTTCTTGGCTTCTTTCTAGCAAATTCTGCCAGCTGTTCAGGATCTGATAGGTCAACGCCAGGTAGTCCTCCAGGTGGAAGCTTCTTGCCGGTCATGTACTCAGAATACTCAGGTGGATTATCTTCAACAATCTGTCGAGGAAGCTCTTGTTTTGCCCCTTTTTTTGTGTATTCCGAAGAACATTCAAGAAGTGAATTGTCTCCAAAAACCTGTTGAGCAAGCTCTTGTTCTGACTCTTCTCTCAGGCATTCTAAGGACTTAAGAAGTAAGTCCTCTTCCAGGATGGGTTCGGAAAACTCACCTCTTATTATGTATTCTAAGTAACAGTCAGGTAAAGACTCCTCTTCAACAACCTGAGGGTTAGTCTCACAGTATACACCTTCATCATATAAGGCCCCCGTCAACTTAGCAGGTTCTTTCTTTGCCTGAGGTTCTTGGCTTGGCTTCGTCTCAGTGAGGGCCTTTCCACCCAGGTCTTTACGGCAACTTCTCCTTGGTCTTTTCTTCAGTTGCTGGTCCATGTTGTCCTGCCCGATTCCTCCTTGAAGATCTTGCACCAGGATCCCTCAATCACTTCTAGGTAGTCGTGATCCGGGAAAGTAGTCTTCAGCAAGCACCTGCTTTGTGATAGGAATCTTTAATTAATATGTATTTCAGTAGTAGAGCCATTGTCAGAAAATGATCTCAAAAAACAGCCTCGAACTCACTCTTCGATAATGGAAAGGCCACATTTGCATCTTCTCTGACAACCTCCCCAGGAGAATAAAAAAATAAATGAGCTCTGGCTTAAGACACCAGTCATAGCCAGATCTTATCTGGGTATCTTTGCTAATTATCTAATCCACCTAATGAACACACAGAATACACAACTAGTGTACGTCACCGTTATAAAGTGATTAAGTGCTATAGAGTAGGCAAAGGGGCTGATGAAAAGCAGGAACTTGTGATTTAAAACACGGCAGCTGATTAAAAACTTGAAGGAGGCGAGGGAGCAAGTTATGCCCGTTTTCTTATGTGACATTACTGCGAAATTTCTAAGTAAATAACGCACAGAAAGTGCTGAGCACAGTTCATGGTACACAGCAAATGCTTAACCTTCATTTGAGCTAGTGCTACTTAGCGTCATTTTGTTACCTTTCAATAAAATATCAGCATATACTGAATCCCTGCTATGTGTCAGGTATTGTTCTCGGCACAGGTGGCCAACTTTTTCTGTAGAGAACCAGACAGAGATATTTTAGGCATTGTGGGTGCTATGGTATCAGTCACAGCTACTCAACTCTGTCACTGCAGTGTCAAAGAAACCACAGACATTACATAAAGGAATGAGTATGGCTGTGTTCCAAAAATCCAGGGCTGCTGGATTTGGCCCCTCATAGCCCACCCTTCTTCTACAAGCTGAGGAGGATCTGAGGCATTCCCATCTTTTATGAGTCTAAGTCAAAATAAAGGTACAGGATAGTTTGACCCACCCTGAATAATTTTCCACCATTTCCTTAAAAATCCAAAAGCCAAGACTAAAGGGGCACACCAGCCCAGGGGCAAGGACAAGAAGGCAGGACGGGACAGGAAAGCTGATAACAGGGAATGAATGCAAGGTCAAGAAGGGAGAATGTTGACATGTCATGGGGTTGGTAACCAATGTCACAAAACAATATGTGCATTCATTGTTTAATGAGAAACTAATCTGCTCTGTAAACTTTCACCTAAAGTACAATTAAAAAATAAAATAAAATAAAATAAATTAAAACTAAAAAAAAAAAAAAAAGAAACCAATATTACAGAAGTTGTAACATGAATGGTATTATAGACTTTTGCTTAATGTTAGAATTGTGTGCCTAAAAGTTATATATGCTTTTAATAATGCTAGAAGATGCTTTTTTTTTTTTTAAAAAAAAGGCCCAATGTGAAATGAATAGCTTGAAGATATTTTTAAGTAGCCACATTTAAAAATAGCACTGACAGAATCATGCTGTTTACTTCAGGCAAAAAATAAACAAGCACACAGAATAAAAACAAAACATGCTTTTCAACTGCCCAGGGAATAATTTTAAGACAAAGGATACATATTAATTAAAATACAAAAAAAGTTAAATAGTACAACTATTGCTTATTCTGTTCAAAAAAAAAAAAAAAAGGTGAAATAAAACAGATGTCCAGAAATATGTACCCAACAAAATCTTGCTCTTGTAACTAAAAGTAATAATTTTCATTATTTTTTAAAAATGAGCATAGCACCTTTGGAGCAAACTCACTAGCAATTGGTACGAAGTTAGAGTAGGGCTGAAACAAACCCCCCCATCCCCCCCAAAAACTTTGCAATTTGCTCATTTACTATTAACTGCAGTTTGATTTGCTTCCTGATTTTCTCTCCAGTTTTTATCTCTTGCTGTCTCCAGCTCTCTCACTTCATGATTCAACCATAATAAATTCTCGATCCCATTAACGTGCCATGATCTCTTCTGGTATCCAGTCCGTTGCATATGCTCCTCTCTCTCAGGAAAATACTACACACTTTTACTCCTCTACACCGAATGCACAGACTCTGACTAATTTCCTACCACACTTCAGATTTCCTCTTAAACATCACTTCCTCAGGCAGGTTTCCTTGATTCTTAGGCTCAGCTGTGTCTGGGCTAAATGTTCTCCTAGCTGCTGATTTTACAATGACCAGAGGCCCTTGGTATCGCTTATTTAAGGTTTATCTCACCTGCTAGCTTCAAAGGTCTAAGAGGGAAAGGTCTCTTCTGACTTGCTCACCATATACTCCAGCACTGAGTACATCTGAACTAATGAAACAAATTGATGAATATGTGGTTAGCCATCATACATAGCATTTAACTATCTAAAATTAATTCATTAGGAATTTATTTGGACCTTTAGGTACAACTTAACGTACAGGTTTCAAAAAGCTGGCTATCTGGTTGAGTGAAATAAGTTAGTCACAAAAGGACAAATATTTTATGATCTCACTTACGTGAAATATCTAGAACAGGCAAGTGTATAGAGATCAAGGAGTCCCTGGGTGGTGCAAACGGTTAATGCGCTCAGTTGCTAATTGAGAGGTTGGAGGTTCGAGTCCTCCCGAGGGCATCTCAGAAGAAAGGTCTGGTTGGTGATCTACTTGGGAAAAATCAGCCCTTGAAAACCCTGTGGAGTGCAGCTCTACTCCAACACACTTGGGGTCACCATGAGTCGGAAATGATGGCAACTGGTTATAGAGGCCAAAATTTATTAGTGGTTACCAAGGATGGGAAGGGAGGGGGAAGAGGGAATCATTACACAGGGGGCACTGAGCTCTCGTAAAACAAACACCAAACCTGTTGTTAGCTCTGTTAAGGGGGATAGAAATATTTGTAAATGGACAGCGGTGATGTCTGCGCAGCATGATGAACGTAATTAATGTCAGTGCATTGTACGTTTAAAAAACGTGGAAATGGCAAAGACTTTGTTTATATATATATATTTATCACACACTCAGACTAACAGAACTCTAAATGCAATAAAAAACTCATTCAAAACACTTCCAACACACACAAAAGAAACAAAAAAGAAAAAAAAATCTTGCTATCAATGATGCAAGATAATTTCCTAAGAGATTATTGTTAGAGAGAAGTATTTTTAAGGAGTTTACCAAGGTCCAGCCAAGTATAGCACTTACCTTTCTAAGCTAGATTATTTGTTTGTCAGATTTTGAGCATTAAGCCAATTCTCACACAGTGTATAAGCGTTCGAGAATGACATAAAATTGAAATAGTAATTTATTAACTTATAAAGGGAAAATTCCAACAGATCTGCCCAGTACATTCTCTGGTAGTGGAAATACCTACATGGAAAACTAAACTACCCTTTCCCGGTAAACACGGGATGAGGACAGAGTTGAATATGTTGTTGATGTTAGTTACCATCAAGCAGATTCTGACTCAGGGCGACCCCAGTGCCCGGAGTAGAACTGCAGCCAGTGAGAAGGGGTGGGGGAAGGGTCCACTCCCGGTGATGGTGATGGGATTCACAAAGGGATTGGCACGCTGTAGGAGAGGGGAAGCCTTGTTGATTAAAGAATATTGTTAGTTGCCATCAAATCCACTCCGATTGCCAGGCCACGTTTCCAGACACCTCTGGGTGGTTTGAACCTCCAACCTTTGGGCTAGTAGTCAAGCCCTGAACGGTTCGTGCCACCCAAGGTGCAAGAGAATGGCAAGCAAAGGTAGTGGTCTACCACAAGGTTGAGGAGAGTGGCAGAATCTTAGGGGCCATGGAAGGCATTTCGTTTCATTCCAAGACCAATGGGAAACCATTACAGGGTTTCAAACAAGGAAATAGCAAACTCTGGTTTATATTAAACTGAGTCCTCGGATGGTACAATTAATGCACTTGGCTGCTAACCTAAAGGCTATAGGTTCGTAGTCCCCCGGCAAGAAAGGCCTTGCGATCTACTTCCGAAAACCCTATAGAGCACAGACACACAAGAGGTCGCCATCAGTTGGAACCCACTGGACAGCAGCTGGCTTGACTGACTGGCTCACAGTATTAACAAGTTACTCAGCTGCTGTGAAGGGGATCGATTGCAGCAGGGAAAAGTGAGCGCAAAAAAAAAAAAAAAAAACTTTTTAGTAATTCAGGAAAGGCAAGTCAATGGCTTAGTGCAGTGGGGATGATGAAATGCCGGGAGGGAGAACAGGAGATACAACTTTCCAAACTTGCTGGTGGGTCGGATAAAGGGAGCGGGCAGCACCAAGGATGAGTCGTCCTAGGCTTTTTGCGGGAGTAATCCGGCCAAATCGCCATTAGCAGAGATGACTGGGGGAGGGAGGGAGGAAGGAGGAAGACAGGTCGGCTGTCTTGATAATAAATAACTTTTAACTTCTTTAATATAAAAATAAACCTAATCAAATTGAGGTTAAATGTAATATTTACATGAATTTTTGAAACAAAATAAAAGATGCAGCTTGAAGGGAATTTCAACCAGACATCCGCTCTTACTGGAAAGTGTACCTACTTTCCTCTTTTGCCTGCTTGAAAAGTCTGAGGCCAGTGACCCAAGCTGTCGGTCGGTGCAGTCTGAAGATCAAGACCCGTGGCTCTCCACCAGGTTCTAGGATGATACGCCGCCTGCCATACGCGAGTTTTAAATCCTTTCGACCCAGACCCACAGTAACAAAACAGCATTCTTAAGTACGCTCAGTGCACACACCCCCATATCTGAGAATAAAACTCCCATGCAACAGGACTTACCGACTCCACTGCGATGCCCTGCGATACCGGCCACTCCTCTCCGTCCCGGAGCAAAGACGCAGAGGAGCGCGCAAGCCACCAGCAGTCGGAAGGCTCTGCCCCGGGCGCTCCTGTAGGCCCACCTCCCTCTGACGGACACATGTCCATCAGGCCATACCTGTGTTTTAACTGGGAGTGGGTTAGGTTTCCATCCTTCCAAAGGAAGGAGGATTCGGGGGCGGTAGGTTGGAGGCGGCAGTGGCCGGCCAAGGCGGGTCACCTTCAACAAAGGGCGTGCAGAGGGGAC